TTCATACTTTAAACATTATCCATTAAAATATGAGAACTTTAGTTTAAGTTCAGTTTTGCCAAACAAACCACACCTCAGATCTGTCATACATTTTGAGAGAGAGAGAAGTAGCTGAAGACTTTGATGTTATGGTTGCATGATACCGTAATTTCCGGACTATAGAGCGCACCTCAATATAAGCCGCACCGGGCTAAAAGCCGCAGATATCTACTGAATTGAAAACGTAGTTTAACTGAACGTAACTGAACTGATCAGTATCAAACAAAACAGAAAAGTGATTGATTAGTTTATTCATCATCCTCTTGCGCAGTGAAACCACTGAAGTCATCTTCTTCTTCAGTGTCGGAGTTGAACAGCCTCAGAAGAGCTTCGTCACATACCTTTTCTGTGGCGATGTCAGTGTCGCTGTCCGTGTTGCCGTCTTCATCCTGGGGTGAAGCTGGCTTGAATGAGTTCTTCCCGCTGCCGTCTCCAGCGCCGAACCATGGATTAATTCATGCCAAGCTTACGTGCGGCAGCACTGTTTCCCTCCTTTACTGCCAGATCGATGGCCTTCAACTTAAATGTGGCATCATATGAACTCATACGTGTAGTTACCATGATGAGGGTGTACGGAATTTTAAAAAATTCTTTGTCGTGCCGGCTGCTTGCATGTGCTAAATTAAAATGAGCACTTTCTTCGATTTCCACTTTTAACTTCCACCTGTTTCACTTTCTGCTAAAGCGCCCCCTGGCAGGTGAAGGAAAATCTTCAGTTAATCCGCACCTCATTATAAGCCGCATGGTTCAAAACGTGGGAAAAAAGTAGCGACTTATAGTCCAGAAAATACGGTATGTAAATGTGTCAATAAAAGAGTAAAAAGCAGATACAGATGTTTTTCAGTATTACATTTTAATGCCAATGTTGGAGCATAATTTGGACATCTCTAATTTTAACTTGTGTAGGTAACACGATGATTGAAATAGGAGCAGCTTATATCCACGGCCCGTCTGAGAAGAACCCAGTGTTCTGTCTGGCCAGAGGCTATAACCTCCTGGAACCCAAGACCCTCACCCCTGAGAACCAGGCCGTGAATGTTGGGGAATATCCTCCTCTGGTTCCCAACTGGTTCAGCAGTTCAGGTAACCGCTTCAGCATGATTGGACAGTTTGAAACCTTTAATTTCTTATTCTATGTGAGGAAACATTTTTCAGGTCAGAAGCTGAGTGCTGAAAGCATGGAGCCTGCTCTGGAGTTGTTTCACGAACTTATAGAAAACACTCCTTCATCTAAGAATCACAAACAAAGATCCTGGCCGAGTGTTGGAGATTTCATAAGATCAGAGGTACTTCTTTTTATTCCCCAATGAGCAAAATGAAATAAAAAACCGTCTCTGCTTGCCTTTTCATTTATTTTTATTTTCCTGCAGGTACGAAGACGAGCGGCGAAGAGGTGGAACGAAAAAGACAAGAACACCAGGAAGCTCCTGCTGGGAGCTATTGATACTATGCTGAAGGAAGAGTGTTGTGCAAGTGCAACACACTCAATGGACACGTTAGACCTGGTTGGATTTTCTATGTATGAGAATATAGAAGGAGTGGACTGCACCTTCCCAAGGTTTGCACCTTTAATTAAAAAACAAATCATTTTAAAAGCATTGCCTTTAACCTTAGCCCTGCCCTGGCTGCAGGTTTCCATCTTCAGCTCCTCTATTGATTGAACGCTAGCAGCAACGCTGTCTCTTGCAGAGGTTTTGAAGGCCTGATCAGCAGCCTGATGTCAGAGCTACCCCCTGACATAGTGACCTACAATCGACCTGTGCGCTGCGTTCACTGGAACAACACAAAGGGAGGGGAAAATCCTGTGATGATTGAGTGTGAAAACAAGGAGATTATTGCTGCTGATCATGTGATTGTTACTGTGTCCCTGGGTATGCTTCCCCTCCTGCTGCTTAATAATTAGAATAACTGTAAATAAGGCACATTTACCATTTACCTTAGTGCTCCTCAAACTGTATTTAATCCTAAAGAAAATACTGTAAAGCCTGACAGATCTTTGTCATACTGTCACTTAAAGGTGTGGTTTACTCATTTACTCAATACATTTGCAGTGTTCTCTATTGTAAATCCATGTCTTATGAGTCATTTAAATGAAAAAAGTTATGATGCTCCTGTTCTGAGATGCAGAAGTTTGCTGGTGCAGAGGTGGGCCGAAAACAGCCGGATTCCTCATTATTATTAACTCATTCACTGCCAGCCGTTTTCTGATCAGAAAAGCCCTTTGCTGCCAGCGTTTTTCGGCATTTTCACAGGTTTAAGAGTCACAGAACGTTGAGCTCTATGATGATGTCAATGCCAAAACTAACAAAACAAAGAGGAGAATCACCTCTTACATCAGGAAACATCTGTGTGTTTTGAGCGTTATCCGTTCTTTCATAATCCGTTGTCGAATTGTGATCGTCAGAAGCTTTTCCGGTTCGCGCCTCACTTTTTTTACAGCAGTGGCCCAAAACGATCTCCTAACACGTGGATTTTCTGCTTCCTGATCACGTGACGTGTGATGCACGTGGATGATGATCGGCTTTAGAGCTGGGATGTTTCCTCACATGGTGTGGGGGCTCGTTCCGACACCCACACATGAAAAAATGCAAATGACGACTTTTGTCGTCAATGGCAGTGAACGGTTGGGTTTAAAATGACGACTTTTGTCATTAATTGCGGTGAATGACTTAATGATATGCACACCTCTCTCTCTCTCTCTCTCTCTCTCTCTCTCTCTCTCCTCGCTGATAAAAATAAATAAATAATGTAAAAGCCTTCCTGTTGGTGGGTGTGAGCCAAGATGGGCGAGGCCATGAATGCAAATTCACTGTGTGACATCACAGTGTGTGGAATTTCAAATCCTAGCATTTCACCATATATTTTCCATCAGAAGCTAACAAGGGACATAGGTGTAGGAGGCTGTTTTCATGTTAAGCCTGCATGACAAACTCCGAGTGACTGATTATAATCAGAAATAATAAATATAACATGTTTTTTCAGTGACCCACACCATTCATATACTCACCCATCTTGACACGCAGCAGGAAAAGCTGTTGTTACTTTAGCGTCCAGGAAACAGCAGAGAACGTCTTGGCAAATAGAAGCTAACTGTTAGCATTAACATCTTCATCACACAACAGAACTCCAGGCTTGTATTATTGGTGGAGATAAAACATCAAGCTGAGTCAGTGGTAGAGTCTTGCTGCTGTTAGCCAATCAGAAGCGAGACGTCCAAGTATCAGGAAATAAAACTCCAAATTCTGCCATCTGAAGCTTTCATCTGATGTGGCTCATGTCTAATTCCTGAAACAGGTGCACCGGTTCTTTTTTCCTCAGAGAATGACTTAGAAGGCATTTATTCCTACAAGAGATCACTGCAGGTGTATTGATGAAGCGAGTGGACATCTTTAACCTTTGTAATTAATGTTTTTTTTTTTCAGGATGCCTGAAGAAGCATCACTCAACTCTGTTCTCGCCTCCTCTTCCATCCCAGAAGCTGCTTTCCATTTCCAAACTAGGATTTGGAACATGTGATAAAATCCATGTGGAGTTTGAATCCCCGTGGTGGGATGCTGAATGCGAGATCATCTATCTGCTGTGGGAGGATGAGGTCTGTAGTGGTGCAGGTTTAGGAGTACAGAATCGGCTATTCAACACGATAATAAAGCTGTTGGACCACTTTGTTGACTAGATTATTATGTGCAAAAGTTATTGGCTATATTCCTGCTTAAAGCCATACTTTGGAACTTTTTCATATTTTAAAATAATTTTCTTGAGCCAGTATGTGTTAAAAGGATCCTTCATAGGGTTAATGAAATGTCATTCAGACCCCCACCATCTTCCGTGGCCAGAATACCACACTTGCAACTTCAGACTGGCTGGCCGCTTTGTTGGGACAAAAAAAAAATGGAGCTGACATACCTGAAGCTGCAGTCTGCTTCCAGCATGTTTCCTGCATGTTTTAGATCATGAACACAGCTGATTTCTTTAATTTAGTGATGAATCACTACTGTAGACACTAAGGAAGGCTGGGAGACATTTCAGCTGTTGGTGGTAAAAAAATGAGCACACAGAAAGGCGAGGTTTTGGTTTCAGTTTGACCACAGATGATTAATAATGGACACTAGGGGGTGCCAAAAGCAAGCTAAACTGACACGTGTGCCTTTAATTTTGAAACCATGTATTTTTGCAGAAGTTAATGAGCTTTCCTTCTAATTACCATCAGTAAGTTTTTCTGTGCCTCTTGTCTAAATAAGTGGCTTAAAAACTCAAACTCACACACATTAATAATCTATTTTGCGTCTCCAGGAGAAGGTTTCTGATGAGATGAAGGACATTAGCAAACACTGGATACGGAAAGTGTCATCGTTCAATGTGCTCAAGCACTCGGAGAGGTCAGCGACAGATTTGTCAACAGCATAACGACTTATATCCAAAGATTTTATACAATCAAAGAGACGAATTGTTCATGTGTCCCACATGTCGGTGCATTTCTCAGTAGCAGCCATGTTCTTTGTGGCTGGATTTCTGGATATGAAGCAGAATATATGGAGACACTTCCTGAGGAGGAAATCAAGCGTTCCATCACAGAGCTCATCCATACTTTCACAGGTATGAAAAAAAAAGTTATTTTTTTAAATGGTAGAGGTTGTTTTTTTTTATTGTTTTAAAGATTTTTAAAAAGAGAATGTATTTTTTTTTTCACTTTTTAAGTCCTGAAAGGGTGGATAGGAATATTTCTCCTGGTCAGAGACAAGGACTTGCTTTAAGTGTAGGGGTCTTATTCTTGAGTGAGGGATGGTGCAGAAGATCGATAGGCAGATTGAACCAAAGAACAAGATTGCGGATCCAAGCAGCCTAAATGAGTTTTCTCCCCAGGGTGTCTGTGCTCACCCTTAGACATAGGGTGAGAAGCTCGGTTATCTGGGAGGGGCTCGGAGTAGATCTGCTGCTCCTCCAAATCGAGAGGAGCCAGTTGAGGTGGCTGGAGCATCTAGAAGCCTCTTGGACGCCTCCTGGATGGATAGTTTATTTAAAAAGTAGTGCAAGTAAAGGCCAAATTCTAACCCAGTCTTCTTAATTTTGGCCAAATTTTGCTGAAGACTTTCCAAAATAAACAAGTGACTTTTGAGGCTTTTTATGTCACCTTTACAATGAAACTGATAACTAAAGCCTTTTAGCTGTTATGTACCATGAAGTAGGTAAAATAAAATATGTTTACAGGAATCGGAGTCTAAAGTTTTATTGAAATGCAAACTTACCACTTCAACTCAACTAAAATCAATTATCTCCTTAAAAAACTTCTGCTTTTATTATTATCTTCATGTTTTATAAAATGCATAACACTAGATTATGAGAGGTCATTTTGTGTCAACGTACGTGCTTTCTTTTAGGAGACCACACCATAACACCAAGGAGAGTTGAATGTACCCAGTGGTTTCATGATCCCTGGACTTTAGGATCCTACAGTCATCCAGCAATAGGCTGTTCACTGCAAGACCTCAAAAACCTGATGGAGCCACTTCCTAAAAGAGGAACACAGCCACAGGTTTGTTTTTGTTTTTTTACAGACAAACTCATATCACGCATGAAATTGCAAACATTGACCTTGTGAATATGCCCTGGCCCGACAGGTGTTGTTTGCTGGAGAGGCGACTCATCCCTGTTACTATTCCACTGTGCACGGAGCCCTCCTGACCGGATGGAGAGAAGCTGATAGACTCATCTCTCACTATTATTCTTGCAGTCCCTTCTCATCAGACGAAACAAGTTAAAGATTAAATATACCTGTTTAATATCAAACAATTCTTTTGTGCCTTTAAATCAGTTTACATTGGAAAGTCAGATTCAATTATCTGTGTATCTGTTTGGCTTCACTGAAGGACAGGAATGACCAGTTTCAGACTGAAGGCAGAGAGGAAAATGATCTCTGCCTGACCCAAACAAAGTCTTGTTATCCAAATCTGACGCCAAGGCAGCCTTCGAGATGCCAACAACAACAACCCCCACGAAGGAAGGAATGCAGACAGATGCTGTGAACCCCCCCACCCCCACCCCGCCTTCAGATTGTGGACTTCTGCCTAGGGAGGTCATCAACCTGCAGGGTCAATTCCTGCGTTCCTCCCAAGATCTCCCTCCCTATTGTGATGTTGTGTTGTGTTATCTGTTGCTTATCTTTTGAGGTGTTTTTTTTTTTTCGCAGAGCAAAGCTGCCCTCCTGGGGGGAGAGTAGCTGTGGAGTGCCTTTTTTCCCCTCCTCCCGAATCCATTCCTCATGTTATCCTTTTTTCCCTCTCTATTAAGGTAGCGCGTTGGTTGCGAATGACCACAGCCAGCAATTCTTGTCATGTGTCTTGCCCAGTATGTCTGATCTTTGAATTGTGTGTACTGAAACTCTAATTTTCCTTCCCTGGGACAAATAAAGCTTTTCATTCAGCTTTTCATTTCATTTCATTTTATTAACACAAAACTCTAAAGCAGTTTCTCATAATGCATAAAGTCTACATGTAGAAGTTGTTGTGCTGTACACTGTTCAGTAGAACATGTCTGTCACAGGTCAATTTGTTCTTGGGAACATGTAAGAAAAGGCACAAGTGGACATGTAACAGGTGTTAGGCATGAAGCAAAGTCCACAATTATTTAACTTGGAAAAATTCAGACAGGAAAAAAATAAAAGCAGGTCAAAGTAAGTTCTTAGTGTTTATGAGGAAACAGTTGGGAGTGGTGGTGAATTAAAACAGGCAGAAAGGGATGCATGAAGACCGATTGGAAAATGCCATAGCAAATGTAGATTGATTCAATTTTTTTACTTGATTAAACAAGAAATGTTTAATCAATAAATGGGATTTATGGGTGTTTTTAAAGAACAAACGATTCACCAATTTGTTTAAATTGCCTATTTTAAATAAAAAATGTTTTTAAACATGTTTTTATTACATTAATTGATTTCATTTGTTTGAAGAAAGAATTTGTTGTTAATTATATTTTTAAGAGACTTAAAGAAATGTATTGGTTGAAAATCTCTGCCTGTGTACATTTATTGCATTGCTTGTTCTTAAGAAAATTCCACACACGTACAAATTTTCACATAATTAATAATACATTTATATAAATAAATCCGAATCTATCAATGTATGTTCAAAAATTAAAGAGATTATTTTGAAATCAATTAAATAAAATAATAACAAATGTAAACAAAGAATAACAAAGACATTCTTATTTTAATTTTTTATTTTTATTTATTGCCTCGTTTATTTGTGGTTTTTATTTCGCTCTTATGCAATTCATAGTTTTATTTTGGAAAATAATCAACGAAGGACATTTCCGTTATGCGCGTGAGTAGCGGAAGTGGAAGGAGAAAAAGAAAGTAGTGAGAAAATAAAGCCCTTCTGTTATCTGGAGCGAAGCTGGCGCTATGGCTACAAATGGGAACATAGTAATAATAGGCTGTGGTATTTCAGGGATCGCTGCTGCTCACAAACTGTTAAAAAACGGTTTTCGGAACGTGAAAGTCCTGGAGGCGACTGCGAGAAGCGGGGGACGAATTAAAACGGGCAGACTGGGTGAGCAGTAACTTTATCATTGATTTAGCTAATGTTTAGTCCAGTTGTGTGGAGGAAAATTAATACATATGTAACCGGAAAGGGCAGTGCAATGTTTATATTACCTCTTTGCTTGTTTGAATTTACTGTGGAACAGCTATGAATATACTTCACTTTCCCGTTTGCATCAAATGCCACATATACAGAAATAAACGAAGGATTTAAAGGGTTAAACGCTCGCTGATTAAAGGGATTCGGTCAGAATTTGAGGCATTGGTAAAAATGAATCATATCCGAAATCAATTTACATTTTTTTTACTTAAAGAAGGTTTTTCATTCAAAAAAAGTGACACAATGGCGTCCATGTTGCTTTGGGTCTAGTTTAATGAAGGAATCGGGTTTGTACAGACTGCATGTACAGTCTATGGTTTGGACCGATGGTTTGGACACAAGCTGCAACATGATTATTATATAAACATCTAAGCTGAAACTGTCACTGCTAAAGCTCAGATCTGTGTAAAGTACTGGAGAATTGGGCAGATGCAGGTAATGTTTGCATTCACACTGATGTTTGTTATTTGCACATTTCTTTTTTCACTGATTGCAACTAAAACTTGCAATACGGCAGCAACTGAACTGTTTTTATTTCATTTCACGTGTAATAGAGTATCATAGGATTCCAGGAAAAGCTGTCACATTAGCGAATAGATGTGGACTTCTCCAACTTGTGCCTCATATAATGTTTACCTTGAGATTGAAAGATAATAAAATGACAATGTCAGCAAATTTCACTCTGGAACTATAAAGTCTTATCTGTTGTCCTTTTTATGCCATACTATAAAAATCAATAAATGCTTTTATAACGGAGGAATACAACTTATACAATCCTAGATTTTCCCTTTCAAATCACCTGCTTTCTAAACATGCCAGAAGTCAAAAGTATCAACCCAGTCTGTGATTAAAGGTTGAATATTTTTCTTCTTTAGGTGATGCTCTTGTTGAGATTGGAGCAAACTGGATCCATGGTCCATCTGAGGAGAACCCGGTGTTTTGTCTGGCCCGACAGTATGAGCTTTTGGAACCGAAGGCTCTAACCCCAGAAAACCAGGCCATAGATGTAGGAGGACACCCCCACTGGATTCCTAATTTCTTCAGCAGTTCAGGTTTAAACAAGTCTAATATATTTTGAATATAGGTTATTTGACGACAAAATGTGAACAATATTAAAACTAAACATTCTCAGTAGTAAAGTCTCCTCTTAGACAGGTGGTTTGTGAGTAAATGTGTGAAATTATTATCTCTTTTTTACATTTTTGACCTGTTTGGTACATTTGCTGCCATAATTCCTAACATAGCCCACCTATATAACCATATAACACTCTAGCATGCTCTAATATAGTGGTGTTTGTATAATAGGCAGGTCTAAGCTTTAATAGTGTTTTCTTAAAGAGCAAGTCAACCCCTACCAGAGTATTACTCCACTTCCACTTCCTGTTTGAAAAATGCAACTAATACTGTTGCCTAGCAGACCGAGAGGGTAGAGCCCCTAACACACACACACATACACACACAAGCTCACAATGACACTGTGACATCATGTGGTACCAGATAACATTTTAGGATACCTCTCAGCCAATAGCAATGGCAGATTTTAATTCAAAGCTGTGCAGAGTTTTTACCTGACAACGGCACAACACTGACGGTTTTAGGCAGAAAATTTAAATTTTAACTAAAATGCACTAAAGTGCAAAACTATTGACTACACGTGCAGCACGATTAGACACGCATTTATATAGTTTATCAGAAAAAAAAAGTTGATTTGGGGGTTACTTGCTCTTTAACTTTCAAATCACAGAAGCCCAATGCCACCAACAATCTGGGAACCCCCCACAAATAGGTCAACACACACACACACACACACACACAGGCAACTGATTGACAGCTCTGCCAGCCAACAAGACAGTCTGCCATCACAGAGAACAGGTCCATCACCTAAACTTCTACCAAACAGAACAGAATCGGACTCTAGCCAGAACATGACAAAACATTCTGTTACCCTAACTAGCCGAGCCTGGCTCAGGCTTTGCTTTCTGTTCAGCTGCTCCAAGCCAAGAACGTCCAATTTTAGCACATCGAGGAGTATGCACAGAGGGCAGAGAGATGGTCAGATGGCAGTTTTATGAATGGATCGTGATCTACTCAATAAGAACGGGATGTGATCAGAAGCGCATTTTAGGCAATGTGGCAAAAAAATGCTCCAGAAAAACGTTTTGCGGCCTTTAATGTTTTGGATCTGTATTCCCTCTAATGTGTGCAGGTCAGAAGCTGAATACAGAGGATGTCTTTCCAGCTCAGGAGGTTTTTGCTGAACTCCTGGATGAAATTTCAGAGTTTCAGAATCAAAAAGGAGAACCGTGTGCCAGCGTGGGAGAATTCATACGTTTAAAGGTTTGCTTAGTTTAGGGGAAATTGTTTGCTAGCTGCAGTTATCTGCGAACGTTTCGCAGCCACAGCTGGTTTAAGAGCTTGTTTTGTTGTTGCTTTCTGCAGGTGAAAGAGGGAGAAGCAGAGAAATGGAAATATATCGACCCAGCTACCAGATCCCTGTATCTGTGTGTGATCAGTAACATGTTGAAGGTGGAGTGCTGTGTTAACGGGGCCCACAGCTTGGACGAGGTGGGTCTGGGGGCCTACGGCCAGTACAAGACTCTGCCTGGACAGGACTGTACATTCCCCGAGTTCGTACTGCAGCAACCCGTTTGATTCAGGACACAGGCGGTGTGTTTTATTCTGACTTGATGATTTGTTATTTTATTTTTGTATCCAGTGGCTTTGAAGGTCTGGTTAAAAACCTGATGTCAGAGCTCCCTGATGGTCTAGTGACCTACAACTGTCCTGTGCGGTGTGTCCACTGGAGCGACGCAGAGAAGAACAAAACATCAGCGGTGGTCGAGTGTGAAAACGGGGAGAGGATCCCTGCAGATCACATCATCGTAACAGTGCCTTTAGGTCATCTCAGAGAATTAGTCTTTAACCAAGCATATTTGTTATTTCTAATGCAATAATAATAATAATTGTTCTCGAGTCTTTCTTAACCTGGGTACTCATGAATCTTTATTAAGAAATTTGTGCATTTTTTTTCTTTAAGCCACCACTTTCCACTGAAGTGTGTAAATGATTGTTTTATTAGGATATCTAAAAAGACACCATTCAACGCTGTTCCGCCCTCCTCTTCCTCTACACAAGCTGCACACCATCCAGAGGCTCGGTTTTGGAACAAACAATAAAATATTTGTGGAATTTGATGCACCGTGGTGGGATGCCGACTGTGAGGTCATTCATCTGATCTGGGAAGATGAGGTTAAATGAGCCGTTGCAGCATCCACCTGTAGAACAATATAAAATTCAAACAAAACCATGTATTCATTAACCCGTACAGGTCATAATTTGTCTAATGTCTCTTATGTTCTGTGTTGGATAAGGATGCTATGGTGGATCAGGTCCCTGATCTACAGAGATCCTGGATAAAGAAGCTGATTGGCTTCACAGTGCTCAAACCCACTGAAAGGTTAACATCTAGAGATGTCTCAGTAATGCTGCCTAGCTTGTTTTTATGTGTTTACCATTGAGTAAATGTTGTGTTTTTGGTGTACATGTCAGGTATGGCCATCTTCTCTGTGGCTGGATTGCGGGGCATGAGTCAGAGTATATGGAAACGCTGTCGGAGCTAGAGGTCATGCGTGATGTCACACAAGTTATTCGCAGATTTACAGGTGAGTTGTGAAATGACAAAGAAGCATCACCAAAGTTGTAGCATTACTTCCCATTCTTAAAGAGCAAGTCACCCCCAAATAAACTTTTTTTTGCTGATAAACTAAATAAACGAGTGTCTAATCGTGCTGCAGACACGCGTCGTCAGTAATTTGGCACTTCAGTGCATCTTAGTTAAAATGTAAATATTCTGCCTAAAACTGGCTGTGTTGTGCCGTTGTCAGGTAAAAACTCTGCTCTGCACTTTGAATTTAAATCTGCCACCGCTATTGGCTAAGAGGTATGCTATGATGTAAACTGGTACATTATGATGTCACAATGCTGTAGTTAGCCTGTGTTTGTGTGTATTTGTTAGCGGCTCCGCCCTCTCGGTCCGCCAGGCAACAGCATTTGTTGCATTTTTCAAGCATGAAGTGGGAGTGGAGTTAGACTCTGGTAGGGGGTGACTTGCTCTTTAAGTAACACTACATTTAAGTTATTGCTTTCAAACTGGTTTCAGAGGTTCTTGAGCCACAAAGTTGAGCAGCTTCACATGGGACAGCGCTGTCGCCCTCTGCTGACCAGAAACTGCACATAACAGCTTTGGTGGTTCGAGTGGGAACACAAGTGGGAGGTCCCTACCTGCTTTATGGCATCAGTCGTGTCAGTAGCCCATATAAAGTCTAGCCGTCAGCGTTTTCAGTTAGATTATCAATAAAAGCACAAGAAGAAGAAGTCTGCTTGTTGGCATTATGGCTGATTCTGGAAACAAAAGTAAGAGGCGACGCAAATAAAGGCTGAACTAGAAAAACAAAGAGCGGCGTTAACGTCGGCGTGGCCTACACTTGTCGGTTTCAGTTTTAAACTATCTAAAAAAGTTGCAAAGTCCTGATTTATTTTCTTTGTTTCTGAACTGCCAATAACCATCCATTCATAAAAACATGCTAAATACAACACCTTAAAGGTATAGCAATCAATGTTTTTCTTCCGGGTGGATCACATCAACCATTGGTCCGCAAAAATGTCAATTTCTGGTGAAGCCAATCCTGGGTTAGTTTTCACTTCCTGCGCATGCGTACTCTGTGCACCCCCTCACTCTCATGGAAATCAGGAAGAGGCTAATGCCGTCCAGTCTGCTCCCCACAGACGCCGCTGTTGCTGGTTTTCTGCTCGAGAGGTAAGCTAACGTTCTGCATGCTATTTTTAGAGCATCTTATTACACATTACGGCCCGCAGCTACTTGTAAACCGACGCTGGGAGAGTGTTGTGCAACGTGGAAAGGGCGGTTCGTTCCTGAAATTCAGAAACATCGATTGCTATACCTTTAAAGCCTGTAGCAGCCTGTTTTCCACAGTCGTAATTGCGCTTTCAACCAGTAGAGGGAGAAGCAGGTAACTCAAGTGTTACTTTAAGCTCATTTCCTGTTTGCGTTTGTAAATTGACAAATCAAAACCAAATGCTGTTGTGGGTTAGCGTTCTGCTAAATAGCTCAGCCTCTGATTTTTGTGGATTTCAGGGAACCCCACCATCACCCCGCAGAGAATCCTGCGTTCTCAGTGGTTTCATGACCCCTGGACTTGTGGATCCTACACCCACCTTGCAACCGGTTGCTCGGAGCAGGACCTGGAGAACATGATGGAACCTCTGCCTTCAAAGAAGTCAAAAGCACAGGTACATACATGTTAATGATCTATGTAAAGTCTTATTAATATCTAGTTTTATACAGCTTTGTCTATATTTTGGTTTATTTCTTCTTATAAATAAACAACAGGATGTAATTCTGTGATGGGTGTTTTTTTAATATCTAAGATAGTATTTAATCCAACTTTTGATAATAAATGGAACAAATGATGATGTTTCTCGTAAAATCCTAGCATTAATATAGGTAGTACCTACTTTTTGTTTTTTACAATAACCTCTATTTTTTCTGATTATATTCTTTCAGCCCCTGCAGGTGTTGTTTGCTGGAGAGGCAACTCATCACTGCTTCTTCTCCACCGTTCATGGAGCACTTCTCACTGGATGGAGAGAAGCTGACAGACTCATCTCTCACTATTCGTCTTTCAATCCACCAGAGCTTCCAAAGTCGATGCTTTAAAAATTCAATGCTGTTGTGCCGATGAAGAATTAATCAGATTTATAAAAAAAGAAATATAAGCATTCTATTTTAAATGAGAAAAACTGTTAAGTGTCCCTAATCCGAGTTTATTTTTATGGTTCTGTTGATAATAATGCAAAAAGACTGCAGCTAATGAAGTATGACTTCTCTGATTTAAACGATTCAATCAAGACTTTAAGTTAAAGTAGCAGATTTGCTATTCTTATGAGCTAAACTGGCCATTTTTTATATTTTTGTAAGAAATATGAGCAAACATCTTTATAATTCACAACTTTTATTTGCAGTAAGTTGCACTAGCTCACATTGTGTTTTACTGCTTATCATATTCTGGAAAGATTTATAATTTACTCTTCCAGGCTGATTATGACTTGACTGATGTTAACTGAGAATAAATTCAACATATTTGATGACTGATTTTACTGTCATATTGTGTTTTATTGCATGGACGGTTATATAAAACTATCAATTTGTCTGGCCAATTTTAATTTTTTTGAATTTATTTTTATCTTGAAAAATTTAAAATCCAGTACAAATAAGTACTAGTCTAAAAACGTATTGTTAAGGTGTTTTAAATTCTGGTACTTTTCTTAATTCAACTTTAGAAACATAAACACTCGTCTTTCCAAATAATCCGATTTTTTAAAGAGCAAGTCAACCCCTACCAGAGTCTAACTCCACTCTCACTTCATGTTTGAAAAATGCAACACATGCTGTTGCCTGGCAGACCGAGAAGGCGGAGCTGCGAACAAATACACACAAACACAGGCTCACTACAGCATTGTGACATCATAATGTACCAGTTTACATCATAGCATACCTCTTAGCCAATAGTGGTGGCAGATTTAAATTAAAATACAGAGCAGAGTTTTTACCTGACAACGGCACAACACTGCCAGTTTTAGGCAGAATATTTAAATTTTAACTAAGATGCACTGAAGTGCCAAATTATTGACGACACGTGTCTGCAGCACGATTAGACACTCATTTATATAGTTTATCAGCAAAAAAAAGTTGATTTGGGGGTGACTTGCTCTTTAACCCTCTGATGCAAGAATTATGAGATCTTCAACCATGATTTTTTAAACAATTTTTTTCATTCATCTAGGTGTGAGTGAAACAAATTTCAACAAATATTTTTGTAACATTTTAATTTACAAATACTTTATTACATGTCCATCTCAGTGGACAGCGTGCATTCTGAACATGAAATATGTTGGCTTGCCTTACTGAAGTCCAAATGGAGGGGCTCACATGCAATAAAGTCTTCAACAGCTGTGTTTAATTGCAAAAATAAATAAATAACAATTTTGAGTACATGTCCACTGTAGTGACCATTATGCATCAAAGGGTTAAGGATAAATTTCTGCTAAATTCAACGTAAAATGCTATAATGTGTGTGATACCTCTCTTTACTGACGTTACAAAAATCCCAGAAGTAATTGTGATATGTGTAATTACACGTTTGTCCAGCAGGGGAAGCGTTGTACCATTTTGAATGAAAGACGTGCGAAGAAGTCCAACTATGTAACGGAACGATTGATTTTCTTAACAGATTCAAGTCGGACTGTAAACAGTGTAGCACACTAGCATGACACCAATGTAGCATTTTCGTTTGTTTTTTGTAATTCTTGTTTTGGTTACTACCTTTAGCATAATAGTAGCCATGAAACTGTGTCAGGTCCTGCGTAATGTCGGCAAATTTCGAACTGTTTTCGACTTCGGTGGACGGGAAGTGGCTCATTGGTTCCCCGGACACATGGCTAAAGGTGATAAAAGTGGCCTCATATATTTATCCCATTTATGTTCGTTTGCTTGTGTCAAGTAAACGTTCAGACCTGCGTAACGGTGTCGTGTTGTTTAAAGGACTCAAACAGATGAAAGCCGGCCTGAAGAGTGTGGACTGCATCATAGAAATACATGATGCCAGAATATCCTTTTTACCTTTGAGAAGGTCGTCATAAATCTGAAATCAGGTTTTAACCAGCGACATACATATATAGTTTTAACTCGCATTTAATGAATTTACTATTGTCAGAAGTGAAATGTAAGTAGATGCGGGTGTTCTGTTGATTTAAAATGCGATATATTTGCTATAGAATATGTGTTTTGTGTTATGTATAACTGCAAAAAAAGAAGCCTAAATTTAGTGTCAAGCCTGTTCTTCCCCCAGAAATCTTGTATTTGTTGCTTAATATCAGAATGCCATATTAGATTATCTAAAAATGCTTTTATTCTGAAAAATAGAAACAGAAAAAAACTTTACATATGGGTAGAACATTATGAAACTTGGTTTATTTGATTTAAAAAGGATTTACAGAAACTGAACTATCCAAAAGTATGGGCCACATTTTTAAACTTTGGGATTTGACACAGTACTTCCTGCTCTTTATTTAATTTCATTTGCATTGTGTAGAATCTGTGATCAATACAAATTTAAGCGATACTTTCTTCAAAGATGTCTTAGAGCTTAATGAATAAAATGCTAAAGAGGGTCCTAACATCTCGATCTGACTTTTGCTTTTCTTAACATTCAGTAAATCCCTTTCTCTGGCAGAAACCCTTTGTTTCAGGACACACTGGATGTCAAACCACATCTGCTTATACTAAACAAGATGGACCTCTCTGATCTGTCTAACAAGCAGGTCTGAATCATTGCAGTTATTTTTGTTATTTGAATGTCTTAAAGCAGAAATATGGAGTTTTTTTCTTCAGAGGGCACCATCTAGAGGTGAGAAAATGTATTGCACCCTAAGCCTCTCTCCCTACTTCAATGGTTACGACCAACAGCAGCGCCTCTAGCTCTTGAATGCTGACCACTAGCCGGCCGACAGAGCTAAAACAATTAGTATTCTCACATTAATCTTATATGTTTATAAAAGGTTTTAAGACTTCCTTGTCCATCTGAAATGTCCTTAACTGCATCAGTTCAAGTACTTCCGCACACGCTCTGGGATTGAAATCTGAATGTAGGCGGATGTCTAACGATATTGGTTAATGCTGATTGGTGCTCAATTCAAATTGCATGGAGCTCTATGGGGCAGGGGCGGTCTCAACAAGAAAACAAATTCACATATTGCCTACATTATGTCACAGTACAGGGTTAGACTATTATTTTACAGATTTCTAAAAGCTAATCCCACAGAGTGCCTGAAAGGGGGAAACTCCAGGTTGCTGCTTTAATGGATTTTATTTTTTCCAAAGTCAGTTTTAAAACAAATTCATATTTTGTTTTGACAAACTTCTAGAGGATCCTAAAGAAACTACAACAAGATGGAGTGAGGAATGTTCTCTTCACTGACTGTTTAAAGCAAAGAGATGACAACATCAAAAAGGTTAAAGTGGATCTTAAACTGTAAATACATAAAAAGTGTCATTAGGAGTTTTACACTAACTTCTCATTTTGTTTTGTTCCGTAGTTGGCACCGATGATGGTCAAAATAATTGAGAACAGCCCTCGTTTTAACAGAGAGGAGGTCAGCACACAGTTTCCTGCTAGACTCAAAGACACTAATCCTAAATGTTGATGTCCTCAAAGAATGAGAGTCTAGTCCTGCGATTCTTTCAGAACACAAGTTACTGCCTGATGGTGATTGGAGTACCCAACGTGGGAAAGTCATCGCTTATTAACTCACTGAGGCGAACACACTTAAAAAAAGGTATTGTATAAAGTATTTGTTCATGTTATGACGTGTTGCTTCTGCTTATCTAAATGTTGTGATCTAATGCAACCTTTCAGGTCGTGCATCTCGGGTTGGTGGAGAGCCGGGAATAACTAGAGCGGTCCTGACTAAAATCCAGGTGTGTTTCTACAGGTTTTGTGGATCTGTTCTGATTATTAGTGTGTGTGTGCACGTGTATACACTCAGACCGAATTTGTCTGTCACTGTTCTCAGGTGTCTGAGAGACCCTTAATCTATCTGCTGGACACACCAGGAGTGCTACCTCCAAAAATTCAGAGCGTAGAAACAGGCATGAAGTTGGCATTGTGCGGTGAGCATTTTATTTACTGGTGTGTGTGTGTGTGTGTGTGTGTGTGTGTGTGTGTGTGTGTGTGTGTGTGTGTGCGTGTGTGTGTGTGTGCGTGTGTGTGTGTGTGTGTGTGTGTGTGTGTGTGTGTGTGTGTGTGTGTGTGTGTGTGTGTGTGTGTGTGTGTGTGTGTGTGTGTGTGTGTGTGTGTGTGTGTGTGTGTGTGTGCGTGTGCGTGCGTGTGTGGTTGTTGTGCTCTACAAACATTTGATGTTTTGCTCCAGGAACTATCCTGGATCATTTAGTGGGTGAAGACATTATTGCCGACTACCTGCTCTATTCTCTGAACAGACTTGGGAATTTCAGGTGTGAATTTTATGTTCTTTAAACATTATTTTGTACATGTTTAGCCCAGATTCTTCACTCTGTGAGTATTCATGTGCAGTTACGTGGAGAAATACGACCTCCCAGAGCCAAGCGACGACATCCAGTATGTTCTGAAACGCATCGCTGTGAAACTTCGAAAGACCCAGAAGGTCAAAGCCCTTACAGGAGTGGGTAAGAAAAGAGTGAAATAATTCCCTTTCTTCATTGCCCTTTGCACCAGAAACTTTTGTTTATTACATCTTTTACGTCATTTTGCCGAATATTTGCACTAAAAGCTGTTTTTCTCCTCCAGGAAACATCACCGTTACCATCCCGAACTACTCCGCAGCAGCTTACGATTTCATCAGAGCATTCAGGAAAGGAGAGCTGGGACCAGTAATGCTGGATTGATCTGACCTGTTTTATTTTTTTTATTTAGGCATCATCAGATGAGTATTCTGGTACTTGTGTCTGCCTTGATAAAATATAAAAATGAGATCATTGTATCTTTTGTAAATAAAATAAGGAAGTTTTATTCTTCAGTAATGTTCACTTTATAGATAAAAAAAAGTCAGCCATCTAGTGTAAACAGGGTGTTTATTAGCATGAAGACAATGATTACAAACTACAAAGTGTTGCAGATTATAATCAAGTGCGTTTATAGCTGTGGAACAGTCTGTTGCTCCTGAGAGGGGTCCTGGGAAATGATGAACACATCAGAAAAAACGCAGGTTAGAATTCCCATGTGCTGGAAAAAGGTAAGAAATAGATGATTGTGAGAATTACTGATAGTCTTTAAAACCAAAAGTAACTGAGAAAAAGATTTTAAGAATGTGATTTAAAAAACTCAGGTGGAAAAAAAACATTTAGCTGAAAAATAGCAAAAATAAAACTGACTGAGGTTGTAGACTCACATCCTTCTCTGAAAGCTAAAAAACACAAAACAGCAGCTTTAATGGTTCCAACATGGTTTCACTCATTAGGATGAGGCTTAGTTACAATGAAAATCTGCTAAGATTGGTGCAGAGTTTCATCAGAGCTCACTTAGCTTCTAAAATAAAATAAGAGGTGAGTTTGGCAGTAGAAGTGAAGTGAAACTAAACAGGCTCTAGAGCTTTTTTAAATTGTTGAATCAATACATGTGCAGTGGTCTCTGGTAGGAATGAATGCCTTGCGGGCCTTACTCGGGGCAAAGAAAGCCCAGAAGCACCTGGATCAACACTGACAAGTCTGCTGCAGCAGAAAGTGGCACAGTAGGGCAGGATTTGGAGTCTTCTTTCCTGATGTTTGGACATCTCTCCTCTGATTGGCTAACAGCAAAGCAACTCTACCACTGGCTCAGTTTCCTCTGCAACTGTGATGTTTTATCTCCACAAATTACACAAGCCTGTAGGAGTTGCTAATGCTAACCGTAAGCTTCTACCAGCAGAGATGTTCTCTGCTCTTTCCTGGATGCCAAAGGTTGGTTTACGCTTGACGCGTCCTGCCGTCTCTTCCTTTGGCCATTATTTCAGCTTTAGCTTCAAGAAAGTTTTGGCTGTAAACAACAAAGTGCGCATGTGCTGCCGGCAACTTCAGTAGATGTTAAGGTGGCTGGAAAGGGTCACCGCGCCTACACCGCAGCCACGGTAAACCCACCGAGATAATATACGTTGTAAAAAACAAGACGGTTATTATTATTGTCAACTTTTTTACCGGGGTTTATCGCTACACCGGTTACCGTGACAACCCTATTTCCACGTGAAATGTACATGCGTCAAGCTTAAACCTCCTTGTGAGTCAAGATTGGTGGGTCCATATATGTTGGGTGACAGTGTGATGTAGATCTGTGAGGATTTTGTAATCCCAGAGTTTCACTCTCTATTTTCTATCAAGCTATTGTAGGAGACTGTTTTCATATTCAGCCTGCATGAAAACTCAGTGACTGATTATAATCATTAAAAATGGTTTTTCAGTGTTCCACACCTTTAATGTGTAGCTATTTATTTTTGATATGTTGGATAGGACAAAGTCTGTAGATAAAAGTGCACCCTTCATTTAGTGAAACGTGAGTGAATATTAGTAATGCACATTTATACATACAGTACAGTGATGTTCTGTCTCTTGTTGTTCCACTGACTTGTCATTTCTCAGATTCCTTCCTTTAGGCTGAAATAATCCTAAAATGCAACATTATAGTATAAAGTCCAGTACGAGGCCATGTGTTGTAGAAAACGTTGCAATGATGATCGAAACCACACGAAACAGAGCAGACCCGTGTTGGCTCGAGCTGGAGAACAGTGCATCAAAGTAATTGGTCCTGTTGAAGTAATCCAGCTCCTCATCGGAGCTGTCGGCGTTGCTGCGTCGGTAGGCGGACGCGTACCATTTCTCTGCCGTTAAAGCCACCGCTGCCCCGGCCGCTGCAGCACTCGCCACCCTCACCGGGGAGGTCCGCCCTGCTGCCCTGAACCGGGAGCGAGTCCCCCCGTAGGCACCTCCTCCTCGGTAGGTTCCAGCTGTGGAGCTGCGGGAGGGAGATCCACGAGAGGAGCCCCGGGACCCCCCACGACCTCCCTTACACAACGCAGGGTCACACAGGAAGGCAGAGAGCAGAAGGCAGGTCCAGCAGGTCGCGACAACCTGGTTCATCCCTGACATCTGTATGAGAATATAGATTTAAAAATACATTTTTGGTGTATGCGTGTAACTGCTCTGTCTTCTCGATCCCCCAGTGAGCCGTGATGGATGGCTGCTTATACTGAGCCAGGATCCTCTGGTGGTTTCTTCCTGTTTAAAGGGAGTTTTCCTCTCCACTGTTGCTACATGCTTGCTTAGAATGAGGATTGCTGTGAAGACACTGACACCAGTCAGTGATTTGATGCAATTTGCTGGGCTCCTTATTTAGGAAACTTCTGACTGGCTTAATGAACTGACCTGTACTGGAATGTTTACTATGTGAAGTACCTTGAGACAACTCTTGTTGTGATTTGGCGCTTTATAAATACATTTGAATTGAATTTTAGCCATTAAAAATATAGTCATTAGATGTTAGGTGACGTACAAAATGTCATTAAATGATTTATCGATTGCCGTGACAACAAGTGATGATAAGCAGCTGGATTTCTTCACTGATAATTTATCAGTCATAAACACGGCCGTTCTTTTAAAGTGGGTCACTTAAAAATAAATATTGCGCACGAGAAAAACGCTGCTGGTCAAATCTATGTCCATAAACACAAACTACTCTCATATAATAATGAACACTGGTGAAAAGAAGCCATTGTTTTAAAAATTGTGTGCCTTGGTGATGTGTGGGGAAAAAACATAGTCACATCAATTAAACGTTTTTTTTCCATGGAAAAGCAAACAAATGCATGCATGCATCCTGCCTCAAATTGGCCTATAAGCAGATGCCTGCGTCAATCGTCATAAATAGAAACATATGAACTGCATGCATAGCAGAGCAATGTTAAACACGACAACAACCTTCCGTACCTTGTGGTATTGTGCTCCTATCCTTGCTGATGTTGAGACCAACTGGGAGGGAATTTAGGGGGATTGTTGCAAGCGATGCAGGCTCGTTCACGCAGACGAGAACGCGCAGCGCGCTCATAAGGTGCACGTCTATTTCGCGATTTCAAAGCAACGTGTTTGTCTTCTTGTGGTCCAATATGTAACGAATTTTATATATTTTTCCATATTTCCTTTATTTTTAATCTTTCCTGCATTCGTATTTCCTCAAATTCGAAATTGTTGGTTTAAAATACCAAATGTTGAGTATAATAGCGAGTTTCACTACTGAAGTTAACAAAAATAATAAATTTGGTTTTGCATGTCATGGACAACGCAGAAATGTTCATTCAACTCATTAGAAAGAAATATATCAATTAAAGGCGGTAACTATGGGGACTACACTTCTTGTTATACCGTGAACGGACGGCAGGTGGCAGCACCACGAGGTACTTAACGTAACCATACAACAACAAAAATGCAAAAACAACGAAGAAGGAAAAGTGCAGGACACAGGCTGCAAGTGACCCAGAAGCATAGTTCAGTGTTTTTTTGTTATGATGTCGTTCCTCTGCAGAAGTGCTGCTTTCCTTCTGAAGTCCTCCAGAGCAGCGCCGGCTCTCCTGTCCAGTAGCCGCCTCTACAGCTCAGGTCTGTGGTCCGAAACCAGCCGTTGTTCCTGTGGCTGCATGGTTTAGCTCCACGTCTAAGGACAAGAAAACTGCGTCACTGAACGTGACAGCAAACAAACTACCTCACGTAGGAACTGCACCACGCTGCAGCTTGTATTTAACTGGGATTTTTTGTTACAGGAAACTTTCCTTCTTTATTAGAAATTTAAACCGCATGAACAGTTTTTTTTTTTACCAAAAAGTAAATGCATGTGACATGCCAGTTGGGGATAAATAACAATTTATTGCTTGATTTGTTTAGTTAATATTTTTTTAATGAAAAATGTAGTAGTATGTGTATGGGGTAACATTTGTAAAGTCAGTCATAATTTAACAGCAGTATTTTGGATTATTTAATTACCATAATTTTAAAAAATGGGAGTTAAATTTTCAGTCATATTTTCACAATGCTATTCATTTATAAATGTTAAAGTTCTCAAATAAATAATTAGTTAACAAGCTAAATATTTAATTTACAGTAAAATATTTATTTAACAAAATAAATATTTAGGTCCAGGTCTAACCTTAATATTTAGTTTGTAAAATAAACTTTAAATTTACTAACTAAATATTTAATTTGTTGCTAAATAGTTTACAAACCAAATTAAACATGTATTTTCCAAAATAAGAATATAGATCCCAGTTAAATATTTATTTTGGAGCTAAACATGTACTTTGCAAAATCAATATTTAGGTGTAGCCCCAAAATAAATATTTAGCTGGTATCTAAATATTTTTTTTGGAAAAATAAATATTTAATTTGGAGCTCAGTATTTGGTTTAAAAACTATATATTTTTATACTAAATATATAATTTTAATTGTTAATTTTATTATTAAAGTAGTTTGTAAAATAAATATTTAACTCTAAATTAGATATTTAGCTTGCTAACAAAAAATCTAGGTGGGATCTTTAAAATATATAAATGTATGAATAACATGATGAAAATTTGACTTTTAAAAATTAACTCCCAAATATTATTTTTTTATTTCTCTTGTGATTGGCTAAATAATCCAAAATACTGCTGTTAAATTATGACTCTTAGACTTTACAAATGGCACCTTGTAGTGTGTGACCTGAGCATAACTTTTTCTTTTAGGAGGTCAGTATGAGTATATCCTGGTGGAAAAGCGAGGCGAGCAGAGCAACGTGGGCTTCATTCAGCTTAACCGACCCAAAGCTCTGAACGCTCTCTGTGATGGTCTGATGTTGGAGATGGAAAGGGCACTAGATGCTTTTGAAGCTGATGCAGACGTCGGAGCCATTGTCATCACCGGTAGTGAGAGAGCCTTCGCTGGTGAGAAATCCAGTTATTCATTTATTTGGTCTTTTGTTGGCAGACATTTCAGATGGTTGTGTTGACTTTTGTCGTTCTCTGTTCAGCCGGTGCCGACATTAAAGAGATGCAAAATCGAACCTTTCAAGAGTGCTACGGAGGAAACTTCCTTGTGCATTGGAACCGAGTGTCCACAGTAAAGAAGCCTGTGATTGCAGCTGTTAATGGATTTGCTGTAAGTGTCACATTACTGGATGTGTATTCATCAAACACATCTTAACAAAACCAGGATTATTAGTAGTAGTTCATTTAAGATTGCTTTGAAAATCTTAAAAAACACATTTGATCCTGTCTGTGCATCTGACAGTTATTGTGTTGAAGGAAGTAAAATCTAATCTAATTTCACCTCTGAACTTCTGCTCTTCGTAATGTAAACATTTTAAAAGCATATAAACCTACAAAAAGTGAAAGTTCCATTAAATATTTTGACTCCTGGTTCTGGATCTTTGTTCTTGTTCCAGCTGGGTGGAGGCTGCGAGCTCGCCATGATGTGTGACATCATCTACGCAGGAGAGAAGGCTCAGTTTGGCCAACCCGAAATTCTACTGGGCACAATTCCTGGTAAAAACAAACAAAAAAATGTTTTTCTGTCCATGCCGGTGTTTTTGGATCCACTCTGACTTCTCTGCTTGCAGGAGCGGGCGGCACCCAGAGGCTCACTCGCGCTGTTGGCAAATCTCTGGCAATGGAATTGGTACTGACAGGAGACAGGATTAATGCTCAGGAGGCAAAGCAATCAGGTACCAACGATGTCAGAAGTCACGTTTAGTTAAAAGTTAAGTTTTCAAACAGATCGTTCTCATTTAAACCCTCTCTGATGCTTACACAAACATGTTTTAAGAACAAATTAGTGGCAATAAATTGCAGACACACTTCAGTAAACAGGAAAGGCTATAAAAATCCTTACGTGAGTCTGTAATAGTCCACCTGTCCTGATACAGGGTATCCGCGGGTCCTTGAAACGTCTTAAATTTGCTTTTCTGAATTTAAGGTCTTAAAAATGACAAATAATACTTCAATAGAGTTTCCAAAGGTCTTAAATTACCAAAGACCCAATAAACGAAATGATTTTATTTCTATAAAAATTTCGTGAATTTCTAGTTAGTGTTCAGCATTTTTTGTGTACGATGTTGGCGTAAGCGGAACCGTACACATTCAGCTGGTTGTGAAAGGGGGCTTTTTTTAGATGAGCACGTTAGCTGGTTAAGCTAGCGGGAGCTTGCGCCATGGGGAAGTGCAAGTTTAATGGTAATTGGATGGCTAATCCCACATTCGCGACGTGGTTAGCACCGGTTCCAGGCAATAGCTGGAAATTATAGCTTAAATTTAATTTAAAAATAGCTTATATTTAGTCAAAATGGCCTTAAAAAAGTCTTAAAAAGTCTTAAATTTGGCTCCCTTAAACCTGCAGATACCCTGCTGATAAACTGACATGTATTTACTTTTAAAACCTGACATAGTGGCTTTGTGTGCTTCCAGGTTTGGTGAGTAAAATCTATCCCGTGGATCAGCTGGTATCTGAAGCTGTTAAATGTGGTGAGAAAATTGCTGCCAATTCAAAGCTCATCAGCACTATGGCTAAAGAGGCCGTCAACGCAGGTTTGTGATGAGTTTTATGGTCATTTACAAACTCAAATGTTTGTTTTTTTGTTGTATGTTTTGTCTGATTTCCTTCTTCATGCAACTGCAGCTTTTGAACTGACTTTAGCTGAGGGGAATCGCTTGGAGAAGCGTTTATTCCACGCTACATTTGCAACCGTGAGTTGAAGAGCCTTTTTTGTTAGTTTGTGGAAAGATTGATTCTCTAACAGTAGATTTAATTTCCTCTTTTCCCCCTTACAGGATGACCGTAAAGAAGGCATGACTGCCTTTGTAGAGAAAAGAAAAGCCCATTTCAAGGACAAGTAGAAACAAAGTGTTTGCTGATCACCTCCTAATTTAAAAATCGTGACTGTAATGCAGCAAGCAGACTGAATATTGGCATTCAGCACAAAAAGTTCCAGTAAATCCTGGCCTGCTGGAGTGTAATAATACAATCATGTCCAGCCTGATTGGAGGAGGTTTGATCTGATAACTGGTGTAGCCTGTGTGTGACAGGAGTCAGTCTGGATGACTTGTATTAAATTTGCCTTTTCTTTTTTAAATGTATGTTTTCTGTGTAGGTTTTACTAATAAAGCTAATGATTTTCACCAGTGCTATCAGCGTGTGTCATGAAGTGCTCAGAAGATACATAATACATGCTATAATTATTGTATTAGGGTACTTTATACCACACTATCTTAATATGATGCAGCGCAAATGTTTACTCCATATTTAGTCATCAAGAAGCAGTCATACTGGATATTTTACTGTCTGAAATGTACATTAAAATCAGTGAGCACTAGATGGTGTTCTTGTGAAGTTTCAGTAAACCTCACCAAAATGTGTTAAGTGAGCATTTTATTTAGGGTTTAGAGATTTGAGTAAAACTAAAGTACAATAGTTAAATATTTAAAATTGGTTATATACGTTTTTATTATTATTATTGATAGCACTTGTACTGTCATACTGATAAATATCCACATTAGCAGCAAAACTGATTATAAATTAGAGCTTTATGACAAAATAACAAACAACGAGAAAAATGGCGATATTTTAATTTATTGCGCGTGTGAAGCGTCTTGTGATAAAAGCCTTTATGGCGTAAACGAAGACAAAAACGGGAGAAGTGACTGCTCTCGCTTCACAATAACTTCCGGTTCTCTGAATTTCGTAATTGTTTGGTCTGTCATTGAATTAACTTAGAAAATCGTTTGTTTAAACCCGAAATTTTACTTAATTTTCAATAGAGCATAAAGCCACAGCCCCCTAATCTACTTTTGATGTCTAAAGTTTAGCTAACAGGTGTCACGAGCCCAAACAAAGGCGGAAGTTACTGGAGTCAGTCCTCTTGCTTCACCCCCATCTTTGATTGTCAGCTCCTCGACCGTGAGTATGGTTGTCCTGAAAGGAATCCCTTCTGTTTTATCACCTGATTTGCTTTATGTTCTCGCGAAAATGGGTCATGGCGATGAGCTGGGTATGATATATAACTTTACACACACTCCATGAGTTAGCACGCACAGGCATTGCTATTTGAATAGACCGATGGCAGAGGAAAAAAGTATTAGCTGTTTGTGTCAACCCATATCTGTGACGTCAACACTAGAAAATTCAAGATGACTAACGAGTTTATTTTATATTTAATTAGCATTTTATATTCTCTAGTGCTTGCAGATTCTAATTTTCCTGCGTCTTCTGTTTGTGCATTTGGCCCAAAGGAGATCAGGGCTGATGGTATGTTCCTACCTAGAAATAAAAGTCACGTGACCCTTGTGTTTCGTCCTTGTTTATTCTGAGTGTGATTCTTTTGTAGGTTTGGGAATCCCACAACTTTTAAAGGCCATTTTAAAGCTGTTGCCCCTGGATACCTATGTCCCTCATCCAGTACAACACACACAGCATCGCAAATGTTACCTTATTGAAACGTTTTTGTGAGTTTAGATATTTTTCACATAATGTTTTGTTTTCCTCTTATGTTTCCTCAGGCAGCGGTCATGGATCTATTGGACAGCGACAAACTCAAAGGTTTAGCTGTCCCTGTGTGGGACGTATACACACAGCTCCTAAAGCAGGCAGGATCTCACGTAGGACCCCACTGAATGTTTAAAGTCAGCTAGTGTAGATTTTAATATCTACCATCATCATCATATATATATAAGTTAATTTTTTGTTTTGTTTTTCATTTGTGCATTGTGTTTATACGCAGGCTCCTTTAGAGAAAGTGGAGAGATTTGCTTTTTATGAACGAGCCAAGAAGACATATGCCGTTGTGGCAACAGGGTGCGTATTCTTAGCCTTTATTCACAAATGTCAGTCTGTGTCTAGAATGAATTTATTCATTTGTAAAATTGCCAACATTTGTTAGTGATAAAACCTTATATTTTCATGTATCAGTTCCTGAATAAACTTTGCGTTTCTGCATAAATAAAATAAAAAAAGTTGTCAAACATGAATGTTTTTATTGTTTTCAGGGAAACTGCTCTTTATGGAAACCTGATACTGAAGAAGGGCGTTCTTGCTGCTGAGCAGCTTGATTGAAGCACAAATATTTTTATGTACCTCTTAAATATTTATTTCATGCCTTTTATAAACTATATATTTCAGTGATCTCAGTTATTATTGTAATTGTTTGTTCCAATCAAATGTGCATTTCCAGAGTATTTAATTGGATGCTGTATGTTTAAACGTGTTCAGAAAATGGGGGAAATCTATTAAAACTGTAAATGTGATGTGTTTCATTTGTGATTCCTACACATCAGATATGATTTTATATTTTTCTTTTTTCTCTTCAAGTAATAAAGCATGAAACTTTGACGAGTGCTAATACATTCTTTTATATGAAGAAATGTGTATTCTGATATATGTTTGCTCGTTACAGATGTTTTAATAGAATCAAACAACAGCTGTGATTTATTAATGACATACATTCCTGATGAGTCATCACAGGATCACTGATGATAGAGTGGATCCAGATCTTCTTCTGGCTCACTGTACTTCCTCTCAAATGGCAAATCAACAAGAGCTGCAGCTTTACTGTCGACTTGGAGAAGGACTTCCATGGGGACGTCTTTGTGGTAAAGGTCATCCATGTCTTCCTCGGGCTGAAGGTAGAGCCTTGTTGCTCTCCTGCTGCCCAATGGAAGCTCGTCCTTATCTGTCTCAGGTTGATGGGGAATGCCAACAACTTCAACTTTGTCTTCAGCTGCTAATGGAGCAAACTTCTCTCCTAATTTTTTGTTGTCTTCATTCCAAACCACCTCAGGCTGTTCTTTAACCACTTCAGCAAAAACTGGATCAATGCCATCTCTATCTTCCACTACTTCCTGTTTCATCTTGGTACTTCTAGGGACTTCTGCAGCAGGATCCAGGATTTGAGCATGAAGCTCAGCTGATGAAGGATGGTGCAGATTTTCCAAGTCCTCCTTCACATTTGGGTAATTCTTCCAAATCTGCATCCCGGGGTGGATCGCATACTGAACACCATCAGTGTCCTCTGGAGGTTTTACTTCCACTTCCCAGGACAGCTTCCCATTCTCATGTAAGGACCTAAAAAATGAAATCATGAAATCCACGTCTTCACCATTATTTTAACTTTAAAGAGCAAGTCACCCCCAAATCACATTTTTTTTGCTGATAAACTATATAAAGGAGTGTCTAATCATGCTGCAGACACGTGTAGTCAATAATTTGGCAGTTCAGTGCATCTTGGTTAAAATTCAAATATTCTGCCTAAAACTGTCAGTGTTGCGCCGTCGTCAGGGAAAAATTCTGCACTGTATTTGAATTTAAATCTGCCACCACTATTGGCTAAGAGGTATGCTATGATGTCATCTGGTATATTATGATGTCATAATTCCATTGTGAGCCTGTGTGTGTTTGTATTTGTTAGCGGCTCCGCCCTCTCGGTCTGCCAAGCAACAGCATTTGTTGCATTTTTCAAACATGAAGTGGGAGTGGAGTTTGAATCTGGTAGGGGGTGACTTGCTCTTTAAAGAGCAAGTCACCCCTAAATCAACTTGTTTTTGCTGCTCAACTATATAAATGAGTGTCTATTCGTGCTGTAGACATGCATAGTCAATCATTTGGCACTTAAGTGCATCTTAGTTCAAATGTAAATATTCTGCATAAAACTCAATGTAGTGCCTTCTTTAGGAAAAAATTGCGCTGCTTTTGAATTTAAATCTGCCATCGCTATTGGCTATGAGGTACATTGTGACGTTAGCTGGTACATTATGATGTCACAATGTTGTTGTGAGCCTTGTGAGTTTAATAGTGGCTCCACCATCTTGGTTTGCCAGGCAGCAGCATTTGTTGCATTTTTCAAACAGGAAGTGGGAAAGGAGTAAGATTGCGGTAGGGGGTGACTTGCTCTTTAAGTTTAGGAAAATAGCCACTTTACCTTACTGCATCCTCAAAAGCTTCATTTGTGAGTTTATTCTGAAGAAGAGAACACAGATAACATAAGTGTCACTGAAAAATAGAGCTAAATATGTTTCCAGCTTGTGTGAGCCTATAAAAGCAGAGCGACAATACGTACCCAGGGCTTTGCTGTGACGCCAAGTAACAGCAAAACACTTACAAAAACTCTATGGGTGAAAAACAAGTCTGAATTCATCCTTACAGTTAAAATTGTGTCACAGACAAATGAGATTTTACATTTTCTTACCTGAACATGATTTTGCTGTCAGCTCGATGTCCTACACAAAGCAACGTTCCCTCTGCTATGGAAAAGGAGCAAAGATCCAACCATAAATCTGCTGTTAGGTTGACCTTTGTCATGGTATTAACTCTGTAAGTGGCACTCCACTCACTTGTTTTATGATTAACGTTAATTATCATAACAAATCTTTATCATGCAGAAACAAAAACTCTTATCTGCTTGTAAATGTCAATTATGGACATTTTAGTCCCTGTGTAATGTTATTCTAATTATTGAAAGTTAAAGGTTGAATGTGTAACACAAACACCATAGCAACATCTGGGTGAAGGTTGCAGTTGCAACAGTAGAACAGAGTTTCCAGCTTCGGGATGACAGGTTCACTGCCGATATGTTAGGTGAGGGCCGGAATATGCTTGCTGTTTAACCTCGCCTCGCCTTGGTGCAGACAGCAGACTGCGTTTGATCTCATACTTACTGCTACATGACACCAAGCCCCATAATTCGGATCTGGATGTGAAGCAAAGCAGGGAGTGTCAAAAATTGCAGTTCCGCCCTCATCCGCTGGGGGCTGGTATCAGAAGCGAGCAAATCCCCATTGACTCCCATGTTAAAAATACCAATTTCACAGCAGAAATAAACATGTTAACAGCCTGGTTCCAAAACACGTTTTAGGTTTAATAGATCTAGTTTACACTCATGACAACTCTGAGGGGGGGTGAACTTTTTAGTCACTCTTCTGTTTAAGTGTATTAAATGCCTAAAATTCAGAATAATTAATGTGCATCAGACCCACATGACTGCAGAGCTAGCTCCGGGCAAGGCCTCAGCCTGAGCCTCGGCCTCGCCTGGAAACTGTTTGTGCAATTGTTGGACGAAATGACTTTCTGTGGCATTAATTGCACTAATAGAGCGTCCAAGGAGTCTCCACTTCATTTTTTTCAGTAAGTAAAATTACCGTATACCGTATTTATGTATTTTAGGTCACTGCTGAGCTGAGCTTAGATTTTAACATGTACTGTTTAACCATGAAATCTAAATGTAATAGGGTAAAACCCAGTGCATTTAACATAACGCTGCATTTTTGAAAATGGGTTGACATATGAAATGTTGGTGGAGCTGGGTTCCGACTATCAGTGTGGTCCCCTCCCCTCAGTGGCAGCTCGGCGCATCTCTTGCCGGGTTGTGGAGCTCTTGGATGGAAACCTCTGTGGTCCACACGGTTTTACCCAGTGGTCAGCCCGGCGCATCTCTGACTCAGAAGCTCCGGTGCTGTGCACAGTTAACTTCGGTTGTAGCTAGGTAGCTACCACCGTTAGCTTAGCTCCCACGTCCACGTTAGCTTGTAGCTACATCGCTTCAGTTCAGTTGGGTGTTGTAATTTGATCCCAGCCTTGCAGCCCCACCCTCAGCTCCTCCTCTTTTCCCTTTTATGGAATTGTCTGGGCTTGACGGAACCTGTGACACGGTCAAAATGGCGGTCGTGGCCACCTCCCATTTTGGCACAAAAATATAATTGGAGCCTTTTATTTTATGTTATGTTGTTTTATGTTATGTTTTAGGTTATGACTCAATATTTTTTATTTTACCTATGAGATTCCTAAAGAGCTATGGCTATCAAAAGGAGTCTTGCTGAAATGATCATGAAGGATTTACAACCTGTGTCTGTGGTTGAAGATGAGGGTTTTAAAAACTTTGTAAAGACACTCGATCATAGATACAAGATTCCAAGCAGGAGCAATTTAATGACAGAGAAAATACCAGCACTGTATGAAGTGTTGCTCAAAAGTGAAAAAAGAAATGGATGTTAGTAGTGTTGAAGAAATAGTGTTGTCCTCACAACTGATATGTGGACATCAAGAGCCACAGAGGCTTATTTAACTGTCTCATGCCATGCTATTGATGGGAACTGGCAAATGCAAGCATATGTTTTAGAAACCAGTAGCTTTCCAGAAAAGCACACTGCTGACAACAATTGCTCAGAACCAGGGGTGGACTGGGACCAAAATTCGGCCCTGGCATTTTTACGAATCGTCGGCCCTCCCCATTGGGAAAGGGGTGGGGGTGTTGCAGCCCACGGACTCGTCTCTAGGCCGAATGTGAGATCTAATATGGACTGGGACTGTTAAATTACAAGCAGGACCAGACCGCTGTGACCGGGAGCCCTGGCCTTCCAGATCTGCTCATTGTCCACGGGTGGAGATCAGCGGGACATTAGCTACATGCTAACGCAGTAAAACAACTCCTACGTCATCGCTCTACTGCGTTTTTCTTGCTAAAAATGCCTGGAAAACTCTGTTAGCTTCAGGTTACCTTGTAGCTAATGCTCTGCCAACTGTGGAGTGGTGTCGGCCTAAGCTGGGCAAGCAGCCCACTTGGCTAAGCGGCCCACCGGGACAGTGCCAGAATGCCAGATAGGCCAGTCCACCCCTGCTCAGAACTAAAAAGAATAACTGATGAATGGGGCATTACTGCCAAAGTTCATGCTGTAATCAAAGATAATGGTGCCAATATGGTAGCTTCTTCGTCTTCGTCTTCGTCTTCCTCCGCTTATCCGGGTCCGGGTCGCGGGGGCAGCATCCCAATTAGGGAGCTCCAGGCCGTCCTCTCCCCGGCCTTGTCCACCAGCTCCTCCGGCAGGACCCCAAGGCGTTCCCGGACCATATTGGAGATGTAACCTCTCCAACGTGTCCTGGGTCGACCCGGGGGCCTTCTGCCGGCAGGACATGCCCGAAACACCTCCCCGGGGAGGCGTCCAGGAGGCATCCTGACCAGATGCCCAAACCACCTCAACTGGCTCCTTTCGATCCGGAGGAGCAGCGGTTCTACTCCGAGTCCCTCCCGAATGTCCGAGCTCCTCACCCTATCTCTAAGGCTGAGCCCGGCCACCCTACGGAGGAAACTCATTTCGGCCGCTTGTATCCGCAATCTCGTTCTTTCGGTCATTACCCAAAGCTCATGACCATAGGTGAGGATTGGGACGTAGATCGACCGGTAAATCGAGAGCCTGGCTTTCTGGCTCAGCTCCCTCTTCCCCACGACAGATCGGCTCAGCGTCCGCATCACTGCAGACACCGAACCAATCCGCCTGTCGATCTCCCGATCCCTCCTACCCTCACTCGTGAACAAGACCCCGAGATACTTAAACTCCTCCACTTGAGGTAGGACCTCTCCCCCGACCCGGAGGTGGCAAGCCACCCTTTTCCGGTCGAGAACCATGGTCTCAGATTTGGAGGTGCTGATCCTCATCCCAGCCGCTTCACATTCGGCCGCGAACCTACCCAGCAAGAGCTGAAGGTCAGAGCTGGATGAAGCTAGGAGGACCACATCATCCGCAAAAAGCAGAGACGAGATTCTCCTGCCACCAAACTCGACACACTCCACACCACGGCTGCGTCTAGAAATTCTGTCCATAAAAGTGATGAACAGAACCGGTGACAAAGGGCAGCCCTGGCGGAGTCCAACCCTCACTGGGAACAGGTCCGACTTACTACCGGCTATGCGGACCAAACTCACGCTCCTCTGGTAAAGGGACTGAATGGCCCTTAACAGAAAGCCACCCACCCCATACTCCTGGAGCGTCCCCCACAGGGTGCCCCTGGGGACACGGTCATAAGCCTTCTCCAAATCCACAAAGCACATGTGGATTGGTTGGGCAAACTCCCATGCCCCCTCCATCACCCTTGCAAGGGTATAGAGCTGGTCCACAGTTCCACGGCCAGGACGAAAACCACATTGCTCCTCCTCTATCTGAGATTCAACTATCGATCGGACCCTCCTCTCCAGTACCTTGGCGTAGACCTTTCCAGGGAGGCTGAGGAGTGTGATCCCCCTATAGTTGGAACACACCCTCAGGTCACCCTTCTTAAAGATGGGGACCACCACCCCGGTCTGCCACTCCCTAGGAACTGCCCCCGATGACCACGCAATGTTGTAGAGACGTGTCAACCATGACAGCCCTACAACATCCATAGCCTTGAGATACCCAGGACGAACCTCATCCGCCCCCGGGGATCCGCTGCTGTGTAGTTGTTTGACTACCTCAGCAACTTCTGCCCCCGAGATCGGACAGTCCATCCCCAGGCCTCCCAGCTCTGGTTCCTCCTCGGAATGCGCATTGGTGGGATTGAGGAGCTCCTCAAAGTATTCCTTCCACCGTCCGACTATAGCCTCAGTTGACGTCAGCAGCTCCCCATCCCCACTGTAAACAGTGTGAGCGAGTTGCTGCCTTCCTCTCCTGAGGCGCCGGACAGTTTGCCAGAACCTCTTTGGAGCCGATCGATAGTCTTTCTCCATGGCCTCACCAAACTCCTCCCACGCCCGAGATTTTGCCTCGGCAACTGCCACTGCTGCACCCCGCTTGGCTATCCGGTACCTGTCTGCTGCCTCCGGAGACCCACAGACCAGCCACGCCCTGTAGGCCTCCTTCTTCAGCCTGACGGCTCCCCGAACCTCTGGTGTCCACCAGCGGGTACGGGGGTTGCCACCACGACTGGCACCGGCCACCTTACGACCACAGCTAGCAACAGCCGCCTCGACAATCGCAGAGTGGAACAAGGCCCACTCGGACTCAATGTCCCCCACTGCTCTCGGGACGTGGTCAAAGCTCTGCCGGAGGTGGGAGTTGAAGACTGTCTTGACAGGTTCTTCTGCCAGGCGTTCCCAGCAGACCCTCACTATGCGTTTGGGTCTGCCAGGTCTACGCGGCATGTTCCCTTGCCATCTGATCCAACTCACCACCAGGTGGTGATCAGTTGACAGCTCCGCCCCTCTCTTCACTCGGGTGTCCAAAACATACGGCCGCAGGTCAGATGATACGACTACAAAATCTATCATCGACCTGTGACCTAGGCTGCCCTGGTACCAAGTGTACCGGTGGGCATCCTTATGTTCGAACATGGTGTTCGTTATGGCCAAACTGCGGCTTGCACAGAAGTCCAATAACAAAACACCGCTCGAGTTCAGATTAGGTGGGCCGTTCCTCCCAATCACACCCCTCCAGGTCAAGCTGTCATTGCCCACGTGAGCATTGAAGTCCCCCAGCAGGACAATGGAGTCCCCTGATGGAGCACTATCTAGCACTCGTCCCAGGGACTCCAAAAAGGGTGGGTACTCTGAACTGATATTTGGCCCATAA